ATCAATGCTTTAACAAGCAAGGCCGATGAAGCGAACTCTCATCTTGCCAAGCAAACAGAACTGATGCAGCAAATATTGGCGACTTTCCAACAGCCAATCCCAGCACCTAAACCGTCATTCAATGTTGAAGACCGCGAGCAGCTAGATCAAACGCACGAGGCTACTATTCTTCTAGATCGTGCTATGACAAAGCTTGAAGAGATGATGGCGCTTCAAATAACAACTATTGATCATTTCTTTGGCTATTGCTCCAAAGCCATTGCCAAAGAGGGGGAGACAGAGTCTGGAGCTGCTCCTTCGAATGTTGCTGCTGCCGCTGAACCTGCTACTGTTCCAACGACTCATGTTGAAGCTTAAGCTCATCCTGAAGCTGAAGTTGAGGTTGCTGATGAAAATCCAACTTCCTGTGAAGCTCCTGTAGCTGAGGATGTTGATGTCGTCCGAGATGGGGCTGAAGCTCGTGACGATAACCTTCCAATCACCTCTACAGCTAATGTTGGTGATATGGAAGATGATGATGAAGATGAAGACGGTGACTCTCCATACCTTCCTAAAGCTGGTGAAGATCTGGGTGACGATGATGATGACAACTTCACCATTCAGTACCAGAGACCTGTCGGTGCCACGAAAGGCGTCGCTCTCAGAGATTCTACATCCAAGAGGGAGCAAGGGGAGAAAAATAAGGAGATTCAAGAAAAGAACCAGAACAACAAGTCGAAAGACAAGGATGTTGCTGAAGAAGGAAATTTAAAGGTACTTTTCCAACCTTTAGAACCCTTAACTAATGAGTCCTCCAGTTTCACCAACATCACCTCCCTTTATCAACTCTCCATCCCTTCCACTACATGCGGTCGACTAGAGAAATGGGTGCCTGAAAACCCAACATCCAGCGCTCCCACCGACCAACAGATGTCTCAGCTGAAGGAGTCGCTCGACCAAACTAGAGAAAAATCCCTCTTCGTACCTCTAGTTTTGGTGAGTTCGACTTCTTGTCTGAAGCTGAAAGACTCGAGGCACTCAAGGCCGAGGAAGAACTCAGACTTCAACGACAACAAATTGAGGACAACTTAACGTTGGCCAAGTCTTTTGCTGCTAAAGTTCTTCCAAGGAAGAAGTCCAAAAAGATGGTGAATGTTGTCAAAACCCAGGCTAAGCATCTTTCTATTATAGAAGTTGAACGCGAGAAATCACTAAAGGTGGCCGAGCGCGATAGGAAATGAAGCAAAGAATGTTTACACAAGAGGATCAATCCTCAGCCAATTTCAAACGTCACCATCAGTGGATAGACAAAAGACGATGGATTTTTGGTCTCAATGCTCATCACCAGGGACGGCCTTGATGCTGTCACGGAATACCCTTCTTACCTTGGTCAGTATGGCTACAGTGAATGTCTGGAGATCCGCCAAGCCATTCAGTGCTATAAGTCAAGACATAAGCCGGTTATCGAAGACATCATCAACGATCTGATCAAGAAGATGTCAAGATATGTTGTGGTACCTGAAAAGCCTACACTAAAAAAAGGTGGAAGAAGAAGACCTTCAAGTCCTAACGACTGACCAACCCAAAGGAATTAACATGAAACAAAGTTCTCCTTGGATGAAGTCCTGAAGGCTTCAAAGAAGCCAAACATTTCTATGTTGAACCTGTCCTTGCCAGTGAAGGGTCCTTACATACCCAACAGTGTGCACATGAAACCGGAGTTAGGATTTATCTTCCTTGACTATGAAGGCAAAGTCAGCTTTCAAAGAATGTCTGAGTTACATCTCTACCCAAGGGAACATCTAGCGTACATCAGATTTTGGCTAGATAATGATATATATGGTCAAATGATGAACTGCAAGATCAGAAGGGAATTCCTACATCGAAAGGAGCTCAGAGAAGAAGTACATGAATACATCAACCTGAGCAACTTAGATTAGTTATAGAATTCTATCTTGTAACTTGTCTCTCACTGTATGTCTTTTATTTCTATGTTTACTTTCAGTGTTCAACTTATATGTTGTAAGTCTAAGAAATGTACTAAAAAAATTGTAATTTTTCCTCTAAATTAATATAAGTATTTCATTTGAATCACTGAAAAATATCTCTAAAAAGAGTAATAGGGACACATGTCTAAGAGTTCCAGTGTTCTCTTACAGTCACTGACAATCTATAAGTCAGTGGACATGCTTTCAGTTTCAATTTCTTTCTTATACTTTTTTCTTAAACTTATAACTTAAGAAAACTTATTAAGTAAAAACTGACTCACTGAAAAAGATCCCAAAAATAGTAAAAAGGGACATGTACTTTATATGTAACTTTTCTCTACTATTATCTGATAAGGCAACTTTCTTTATGTTGCTTTGTTATCATCAAATAGGGGGAGATTGTTGATCCTCTCTCTCATTAATTTGATGATAATCCATTTTACCTATTACGAAGTATTATGTTTATGTTCTTTCAGTTTCAGCGATCGTCACTGAGTCTGTTCAGTGATCGTTGAAACATGTATTGTAAATCCTACAACAGCGATACTTCAAGAAGACAAAACTCACACCAAAGAACCTTCAGCGAAAGTCAAAGACTGAAACTGAAGATTAGAGACTAACGCGTTCGTGATCTAAAGCGGCATTCAGTGATTACAACCTGGTCAACATATGTGTGAAAACTACCTAAGCCTCAACGAATGCTGAAGAGACCTTCAATGTTATTTCAACATTCAGCGATCAAATGAAGCTTGTTGTGCAAGATTGTTTTTGTCTTGTCCTTCCACATGCAAAGGACAACCCCATACCTTTTCTAGAGTATAGTACGGTACGGAGCCGACTAGTTGACTCTATTACCCACCAACTCCACGAAAGGATGTCTGTTCATGAATAGGATTTTGTACTATTCACTGTAGCAAAGGACAAACTTTTCTTTAAAAGCTTGACTCGTGTTCAAACCCTACTGTATTACATTAAATGTTCATTTAATGCAATAGGTATAAATCGATGAGCGCTCTCTCCATGCAGAAATACATGCATATATACAAGAGATCACACACACATCTAAGAACACTTACGCTTATCTTCAAGCAAGTTATAATCTCTCTCGAGTATTCTAAAAGTTGTTACCCAAGAAGAACTTATTTCCTTCTTTATATTTCAGCAAATCTTTTCTCTTTGCTAAGATTATCTATGTGTAAACCTAGATTGTTTTAACTAGGTTATCTTTACCTTGTCTATTTCCGCATAAAATCTTGTAAAAAAAATTATTGATCTTTTCTTTATCAATATATATTTTTAAATTTGAAAGTTCTTTGTGTTTGTATTCATCTTCCCCMCCCCCCCCCCTTCTACAAATTGTTTCTATAAAACTCTTGTAGACCCAATCGCGACCAACAAAGATGATGTTGGCGATAAGTTGGATTTCCTTTTTACTAATTGTGATGTTTTTGTTTATCGAGATGATTATAGGATAATTGTCATTGACACAATTATTAGTGAAGATCATTTAAATTATCATTTACAATGTCATTTAAACCAAAGAAACGTTTTATGACAACTAAGGTATACGTGTTGCATACAAAAGAGATGCCAAATGTTGACGAAGTAATATCGCATGATGGTCTGTCCGCTCTGCACAGTGTACATCTTCTCCTTAGGACAACTGCTCAACAAACATACAATAAGACACCCCACAGTCACCGAGGACTCCAGCCTGTCGAGGCACGTCTTCAGGTGGCAGCACACGGTGGTAGGTGGCGGCACACGATGGTCAGTGGCAGCGGAAATGGACGGTGGTAGGTGGCAGCACACGGTGGTCGATGGCGGCAGAAATGAACAATGGTAGGTGGCGGCAGACGGTGGTAGGTGGTGGTAAACAGTGGTGGATGCTGGTGGACGGTGATCGGTGGATGTCGGTGGACGATGATCGGTGGTCGTCGGTGCTCGATGGTCGTCCGGTGCTCGGTGGACGATGATCGGTGGTCGATGGTCGATGATCAGTGGCCAACGGTGATCGGTGGTCGATGGTCGAGGGGGATCGGAATGCCGGAAAATGGGTGGGTTTCTAGTGGTAGCTTTCTAGTGGTGGATGTCAGTGAGGATGGTGATAATGGTTCCCCCCCCCCCCAACCGCCTATTTATATAAACTTTTACGTAATAAAACAAAATAGATCATCAAATCGTCGTCAAATCGTAGGCCACTAAATGACAAAATAACGTTCAAAGTAGGTGGTTTAGAAAAATATGACATTTTTCAGATATAATATTTGAACTTTGACCCCCAATCAGATACAAATAATTTTTTTCGTATCAACAATTATTAAAAAATATTAAATTCAGTGGTTATAAAAAATATGATTTTTATAAGAAAATATAAAAACATTCGTTGGTTCATTTAGGCGTTTAAAAAAAGTAGTAAAAATATAAAGTTTGACGTGATTTTTTATTTTGTTAAGGGATTGTGATGGTAGATTGTGTTCAAGGATTTACGAGTTGTGAGAGTAGAAATGTTTGATTTTATAGAGTAAAACCACAACATTTGGTCCTAAAACGGTCAAAAAACCAGTCAAAATTGTCTCGTGTTTATTGAAGAACACTCATTAATTGTCAAATCGATTTCTTCACTAGAAGACAAAACAGTGATCAAAGTTGGAGGACTGGATCGCTCCCGGGGAAGATCCGGAGGTAGGTGGGGGCGATCCCCTTATTTAAGATAAATCAGATGTTTTTGTCCTCAAATGAGATACATGTGATCCCTATAAATCAATTTAAAATATTCTTTAATGTACTATTCTTATCAAAGAGGGCTGGATCACCCCTCATGGTCAAACATGCCTCGAAGAAGTAATCTGTACTGTTATTTTGATAAAACTTAAAAAATACTATTTTAATAATATATTATGTATTTTTTTTGATATTTTGGTGAAATTTCCTTCTTTGAAAACAAGTACACTCAATAATGAGAAAAGTTCGTCTTATGTCCAACAAGTTGGCTGAAACGACATCCATGGAGGGTCTATAATGGCCCCTTTACTGCTTCTTTCGGTAGCCGACTTCCTCCTTTCACTTGGGATTTTTTATTGGCTTTCAGACCCAACAGCACAACGTGCATATACGCTGGAAATCCCTTCTATCTTCACAATAACACAATCAAATATTTCTTCAATCACAAATTCTTCGTTTTCTAATTGATCTAAACAAGAATTGATTCTTGATTCTTGATTCATCTGATTCCATCACTTCTGCTTCTACTTTAAGTCTTCACTGTATATTATATACCAGGTTTGATCTGCTTCCCACTTCCGATCGTCAAAGAGTTTATCATGTGATTTCATTTTAATTTGCTCTTATTTACTTGTTTAGCTGTAAGAAAACCTATTTCAGTTTGTGGGTAGGAATCACATTTTTTGTGTAATCTTGTAAGTGAAGTTGTTGGTTTTTATGATTTGGACTTGGGTTCGAGTTGTTGACGACGATGATTGGTTCTTCCATCTTGGTGTTTGCTAGTTCTTCGATTTTTGAAGATATGAATCTGTTTCATGTAGGTTGTGCTTCTAGAGCTATTGATCAAGCCTTCACTTTGACCCTTTTTCTTTTCTTTTTTTCTAAAACTGTTGATGTTTTCAGTTCTTAAACATTGTTTAGTTTCAATTTCTTCCACTAATTTTGGTGATTTTTCAAATAATTCTAAATCCTGAAGACTGAATTTGTTCTTCTCTATCTAATACGATTTTGTGTTATTAGCTTCTTTTTTGAAACACTTTTGATTGCTTGCTAAATTCAGAGTTATCAAGTCCCTTCTATATGATTTTTTGATCATCACCTGTTTATTTACTCTTCTTTTTTGCTTGAAACTGATTTTTCCAGATTATCCATCTGTTATTTGGTTCGAAATCATCATCCCCGAAATGGGTACGAGGAATTGCTCATCTTTTCAATCACACAATTATTTCCACAGACTTGCAAAAGCCTTAGAGTTTGCAGTTTCTGAATGGTTGCTCATGTTCTTATTGTTCATTGATGCATGTTTCGCTTACTTGATCGCAAAATTTGCATCCTACTGTCAACTACAAGGTCCATGCCTAATGTGCTCAAGATTTGATCATGTTCTAGCCAGGGACAAAAAGGGAATTTACTTGGATTCGATTTGTAATCATCATAAGTCCGAGATTTCTTCTGTAGTTCTTGGCCATGTTCACGATAAACTCATTGATGTTCATGGAATCTGTGAAAATTGTCTTTTGTCATTCGTCACCGAGACCAAGAACACGTTCAATGCTGAAACTTTCCGATTATTAGTTGGCAAAATGGGATCCAACCCTTCACTTGAAGTTCGTAATCATGATTCTTCGTGTTCAAGAATCTGTTTTTGTTGTAATGAGGAATGTGTTTCAAGAGATTATGATATGAACTTACATCCTACAAGTTCTATTCATCCTGATGCTCCTAAGAATGAAACTGATGTTTTTGAGGATGAGTTTCATGAACCGTTTAGATCTTCCCAAATGGAAAAGAATCAAATTGATGGTTCGTTAGAGTTTGATTATGAGAAAATTAATGTTAATTCTGATGGTGAATCAGAACTCCCGATTTCTGATAACGAGTGTGGCCGTGCTTTTATTCACTTGGATTCACGATCTAAGGTTCTTGATCTTCATAATGATCCTGTAACTGTTACAGCAAGTGATTCGGGGGAACTTAAATGGCGGACGAATGCAAATAAGGAAGAAACGTCTCGGGTTACTGAGCAAATCTCCTCTGATGAGGTTCAGTTATCCAATCTTGCAGAAACTCCGGCTGATGTGTTTCTAGAGATAAGTAAGTTCCATCTCCTTTTCATTTGTGTTATAGTATCAAGAATTCAAGATGGCTTGAATTTTTGAGCTTATCGAAAAAGCTCATTTGAGCAGGTATAAACTAGCTCTTTGAAACGCGTTTCAATAAAAGCTCCCTGGGTTTTGTCCACTTTTTATCACCAACAACTAAGATTATAAGCTAGTTCCCCGAGTGGTATGTGTCTCTTGAGGAAGTGTTAATTGGAATGCTACTTGCATTGCAGTTTTTTGATGCATTTACCAGTTTTTTGTCAAAACATTTTTACCGAAACCATACAAATATTGAATTCGACCCCAAAAGTCAGAGTCAAACTGATGATCGTAATCTATTTTGTAGCTGATCAGCCAAGAACAGGTGAAGTGATCAAAGATCCTGTTGCAGAAAGCGACCCGTCCACAACCATGAACGGCCACCGAGTCTCGAACCATTTGGATCTTGGTGACGCGTATAAGCTTGCTATAAGCAGTAAAGGAAGACAACTTCTAGATCAGAAATCCTTCCAAGATTCTTCGACTAGAGTCACTGAAGACATAAAGCTCTTATTATCCCACCGATCTAACGACAATCTAATAAGCCCAAAGCCGTCTTTTAACAGCGATGAGTTAATGGGAATACAATTCCTTCAAAAACGTCTCTCTCTTGAAAGGAATGAATCTAATATTTCATTAGATGGAAGCATTGTGAGCGAGATTGATGGAGAAACTGTGGTCGATAGATTAAAACGGCAAGTTGAACACGATAAGAAAGTTATGGGCATTTTGTATAAAGAATTGGAGGAAGAAAGAAATGCGTCGGCTGTGGCTACAAATCAAGCGATGGCTATGATTACTAGATTGCAGGAAGAGAAGGCTGCACTTTATACTGAAGCTTTGCAGTGTTTGAGGATGATGGAAGAACAGGCCGAGTATAACAGCGAAGCGTTACAGAAGGCGAACGATCTTATTGAAGAAAAGGAAAAACAGATTCTGGATTTGGAAGAGATTGTTAGAAAGATTTCTGAAGATGGTAGGGAATGAAGCCGTGCTCGGTTTTCTTCAAGATTTCCGTTCGTTTCGTACACAAACCTTGAAACAACTGGTAATGTTGATCTGTTTTGCCCAAAATCAACAAAATTTTCATGGTACATGTATATGCATTCACCAAAGGGCCATTTGCGAATGGTACCATGTAACCCCACTTTCATAGAGGTTCGGGTTCAAATCTCACCATGGATGAAAAGTGTCCGTGAGTTTAATTTCTTTTAAAATTTCTATATCTTGTCCGTGAGTTTAATTTCTTTTAAAATTTCTATATCTTTTTCTTTCATTTTGACAGGTAACTTTTCATCTCGATGACATGGACAAATATATAATATTGATATATAGCAAATGAAATTGATGAGATTGGAACCTATGAATTCTAGGAAGGTTGGGTTATCGGATCCAAAGGCCCTTTGGTGTGGATGTTAAGTTTATCGTCTTCTTTACTATAATCCTTCCATAAACTTTTAAGCGAGTGTTCATGTCATCAAATATTACAAGATGGGAAGATTACTGGGTCAAAATGAGTACAAAATAAGAAAATTTGATACTTTACAATATTGATCGAGAAAAGAGATTATCTATAACATTAAATAGGAACTAAAGCAAACTTTGATGTATTTATCCCATCTTTTTTTTTATCTAAAGGTCATGAATTTGAGTCCAACCCTTCAAGGCTGAGTCGACATTGTGCTACAATGGTGCCGGGTGGTTGAGCCAAACGCTTTGGTGTACATGTTTTTCCGATGGCTGCATAAACATGGAGCACAATTATATGGGTAAGATATGGCTTTCATGTAACCAGTTACTTTATTATTTGGGGTAGAGAAGTTACTTTATTATTTGGGGTAGAGAAGATCTGCTTAAATCTTACTCCTGATCCTACCTCCTTGTGGATATATTGGATTGGATTGGTTTGGTTTGGTTTGGTTTGGTTTGGTTTGGTTTGGTTTGGTTAATATACTGGTAGGATGTCGATTTTTTTTCCTTTCTGTTTAGCTACATAAGGTAGGAATGTCCGTGAGTGAGGGTTGGTTTGGATGTTTCTTTGTTTGGTTCCTTTTGATGGTTTTGTGGTCGATATTTGCAAAAAACTAAAGAAAACAGTTATGGGGTACAGGTTAGGTATGCGTCTCTATCCTAGTTTTGAATGAGATTTACTGGGCTAGTTTGGTTTGTTTTTTTTAAAGAAGACAATTATAGTTCATAATGTACATTGTGCTTTATTGTTTGACCGTGAGGTTTGTGTGATTTTTCTTTTGTAAAGTCAAAATCAAAGTAGTTATATTCTTAACAGTGTAGTCTATCGAGCGTTTCCAACTGTTAATATCATATTTTTCATCAAAATGGTTAGAAATTTGGGTTAGGGTATCGCTTAATCAATGAAATATATTTGGATAAGAATCTTGGATCTGTATGTAAGTGATATTTCGATCTTATAATTGCCTTGGGGGATAATCCAAATTTGCAAACTAGTTTTAGCGGGTGTTTGGGATTGCTTATGAAACCTGTTTTTTAACTTATTTTAGTCTGGCACCGGTGATAAGTTGTTTTCTAATGTTTTGGGTAAGAAAAAAAATTGTTTATACCGGTGCCAAACCGGTAATAAGCAGTTTTTGATAAGTTAATCCTTTCTGACTTATGAAAATCAACTTATTACCAGTTTACCATTTTAACCCTATATAATACCCTTTCTCCAATATTGCACATACATCATCGATGATATCTCTTCTCCAATAATAGATACCCCTCATCGTCTCTTCTCCAATAATAGATACCCCTCATCGTCTCTTCTCCAACCGAACACCCCCATCATCATCGCCTCTTCTCCAATCGTTATACCTTCCTCCAGATATCTCTTCTCCTCCACCCCCATCATCGTCTACCCTAACCCTAGAGATCGATACCCTAACAGATACGCTTMTCACTGCCTGTGAAATCATCGATCAAGAATCCGTTCGATTCGTCTCATCGTCGCCAGAAAACTTCCCCTGCGTTTTCCCACATTTTATTTCCCAATTTTGGGTTGTTGATAAATAGGTTATTCTTGATTTCTTCGCGTTGTTGGGTTATCCATTCATCTGTAAGTAGCTGTGTGTAAATGAGGATTCATGTTGAAGAAATTTATGTTAAATTACTTAAATCTTGTATTTGTTGTTCATTCGATGCTTTCTATTTTTACCAATATATTCTAGTGAGGAAGAAGGGAAGTGAAAAGGGACTGCAGCTGCTTGCACAAATGGTCTTCTAAATAACTTGCCCAGTTTCTTCTTCTCCCATAAGTTTAGTGTGGGGGATATTTGTTAATGGTATAATGCTGTAGATGCTGATATGTATATACATGAAGGAATATATATATATATATATATATATATATATATATAGCATTCCTAGTTATGATATTATGTCGAATGGAAAAGCTATAGATCATTATTCAGGTAGGATTATAAATTTCCTTGATTTTGGTGGACTAAAATCTTATCTGGTAAGTAAGGACTAAGTTAATAAGCACTTTTACAAACACTTTTTATAAAACTACGGTTTGATACCACATAAGTTAATAAGCACTTTTACAAAAAAAAAGTATAAGTTGTTTTAAATAAGCAACCACCCCTTAATGCATAAGAATGAGAGAATCATACAAAAACAAGAATGGAAGTCTTTTTGAAGGAAAGGGGGTACCCACAGCTACCAATGGTTGTGGAGCATCGCCATTAGCGTCGGTGGGTGAAAGTGAGTGGAACACTCGCTGATTATATTCTTACCAATCAGTATTGATATTTTGTTGATATATATATATATATATACACATATATATATATATATATAATATTTTGGTGTATTTGTGTGATGCAATGTGAATGAATCACAATTATGAAGCCAATAACTCGTCTGTCACTCACTTTTTTGTTTCATATAACTTTATAATTTTGTATGGTTTGTCTAAAAAAAAGTCTCCATAATGAAAACACTTGAATATTATATAAAGTATCTATTTATCACAAGTTTATATAAAATCTAATAATATTGTTACAGAGAAAATGATTGTTATAACACCTCTTTTGCCATCTTAACAAAATCACTGCATAAGGTTTGGTGATGGAAACCATTAAAGTGACGAGGTAGGAACAGTAAACACAATATTCATTTAAATAATTAAATTCATTACATATTAACACCATGAAATATAAAAGAAAATCACAATTTATAAAATATATGGTATGCATTTCTTTTTACATAATTTAATATTTTCTTCTCCTCTATTTCTTTTAGGAAGCAGATATCCCAAACAAACCTAAATAGTCATCAATAGGCTTCTAGGTTGGTATCCTCAATGTTGGTGTTTATTTTTTTAAAAAGAAATCATTACTAATTTTTTATATCTGATTCGTTAATAGGTAGGATTATTCAGACTGTTTTTTCTAATTTTTTAGAGGCACTTATATCTTATTATCCTCTTATCTGATAAAAGATAAACCAACTTCTTATTTGCCTCTTATTATTCTCGAAATCTTTAGCAACGACGTTTCTCAATCGATTAACCTTAATCGATCATTTCTTTCAATTGATTATTACCAAATTGATCCTTACATCTCTCAGTTGGTTTATTTTAATAAGATGTAAATGTGTTAAATACCGTTAATGACATATTTTTGTTTAAGTGAATGTTAATTATATAATTTAAATATAAATTTCGTAATGATTATGAATAAAATATGTTAAATTTGGATAAATTCAACATTATAATTTTCTGATCGATAAAATTAATAGACAATTTAAACAAATTCAGACAGTAATCAGTTTACAAAAACAAACAGTTTTATTGATTCAGGTTTCATACTTCAGTACTATCTTTTATTAATCAGAAATGAAATAAGACTTTAATATCTTTTAAAAATAATAAACGCCATAAACGTCTGTTCTCAAAAATAATATAATCCTTTTACTTTTTTTCCCTAAAGTTAATATCATTTATATTTATATGTTATATAGGAAGGCAACCTGAAAACATCATAGCGAACATCTCTCATCAACGCCTTGGATATCAAACCATCTCCTAAATTTGGTTTTACCTTGCATTGACTTTTTGTAGTCTTCTATCAAAGCATAGTTGCATATTTATGCGGTTATAGCATCCACTATGTGCACAGGGCATCCAGGGGAGACGGTATGGGCATAAGTCGAGGATCTAAAAATATCATGGGTCTAATTTTTTTTCTTTTAATATATACTTGTAATCTAAAAGAATTTAATAAATTAAAGAAACCTAAAAAAATGTAACATATAATAAAAGTCTAAAAGAATTTAGTAGATAATAAGAGCCCAAAAATATATCAACTAATTACCTTGGAGAAGAAAATAAAAAAAAATTAATTAATAATTCATTATATGTTATTGTTTATTGTCTCTCTAAACAAACAATCCCTTACATTTAAGAGGTAAATAAACAATCTCTTACATTTAATAAGGATTACTGATTAAATTTACTTTAATTAAAAATAAAATATATTTCATATGTGATTTTTCAAATAAAAAAAATATTTAAAAAGAATTACTGATGAAATTTATTTTAATTAAAAATTAAATATATTCTATTTTTTATTTTTTAAATTAAAAATAGAAAATAATTTGATTAAATTACTGGCGGTTAACTATAAAATTTAACCAAATACATAATTAATTAAAATTCATCGTTAATCCATCAATAAAATCATATCACCGACAAGATTCAAGCACACGATCTTTCACACTTACTAACATGTTACTGTATTAGAGCATCTGATGGTTGTCAAGTTAGCCATTAATTACATATAAGTAATCCATTCATATATACCAATGAACACTAACGACGATCTTTAATTAATTATGTATTTAGTTAAATTTTATCGTTAATCTATCAGTAACTTAATCAAATTATTTTCAATTTTTTTAATTTGAAAAATCACTAACATAATATATTTTATTTTTAATTAAAACAAATTTCATTAGTAATCCTTTTTA